ATTTTCACTATAAGAAGGTAGAAAATACTGATAAAAATTTTAAATCACTAGTAATTGCATTATGTAATTACTGATTTAAAGAATTTATATTCTATGCCCATCCATAGTTTTTAAATACATATGATTTTTTTATTATGGCAAAATATACTTGACTTAAAATTTACCATCTAACAATTTTAGGTGAATATTTCAGTGGTATTAAATATATCCATAATGTCGTAAGACCATCTCTATCATCCATTTCCATAATTCTTTTCATCTGTAAACCTATATCCATTAAATGATAATTCCTCACTCTCCCTTCTCTCTAACCCCTGGCAAACACCATTCTACTTTCTGTCTCTATGATTTTGACCACTCTACGTAACTTATATAAGTAGAATCACACAGTATTTGTTTTTTTGTGATTGGGATTTTACATAGCATAGTATCCTCAAGGTTCTATGTTGGAACATATGTCAGAATCCTTCCTTTTTTAAGGCCAAACAATACTCCATTGTATGTATATACCACATTTTGCTTATCCACTCATCTGTTGGTGAACATTGGATTGCTTAAAACTTTTTAGCTATTGTGAATAATGCTGCTATAAACATGGATGTACAAATATCTCTTCAACACTCTGATTTCAATTCTTTTGGATATAAACCCAGATGTAGAATCGCTGGACCATCAGGTAATTCTATTTGTAAGTTTTTGAGGAATCACCATACTGTTTCCTACAGTGGCTGTACGGTTTTATATTCCCACCAACAGAGGGCAGAAGGGTTTCAATTACTCCACACCCTTGCCAACATTTGTTATTTTCTGGGGGGTTTTCAATAGTAGTCATCCTAAAGAGTGTGAGGTGCTATTTCATTGTTGTTATGATTTGCATTTTCCCAATGATTAGCAATGTTGAAGATCATCTTTTCATGTGCTTACCAGTCATTTGTGTAATTGTGGAACTACACATATACTACAATAATCCTCCAAATAATTAGCTCTTTCATGGACACTATTGGTTGTCTCTATATACTGAATATTTGTATCCTCTTCAAATTCATTATGTTGAAACCTAATGCCCAATATGGTGGTATTTGGAGGTATAGCTTTTGGGAGGTGATTAGGTTTATGAGAGTGAAGTCCTCATGAACAGTATGAATGTCTTGCAAAAGAGGTGCAAAGAGCCCCCACACAACTTCCACCATGTAAGATCACAGTAAACAAAACAAAACAAAACAAAAACCTACTGTCTATTAATATGGAAGCCTGCCCTCACCAGATCTAGAAGTGTCTTTGCCTTGGACTTCCAGAACTGGGAAATAAATTTCTGTTGTTTACAAGCCATTCTGTTTATGGTATTTTGTTGCAGCAGCCCAAACGGACTAAGACAGTTGCCCATGCCCTTTCCTTTCTTCTAACACTTTGTTTTTAATTTATGGGCCCATTCTCTGCATACCTAAGGCAAAGTTGAACCTATTCATAGCTGTAGTAGGTTCTGAGAGAGATAAACCAATAATGGTAATTTCAATCCACTTCTCAGTATTTAGTTAGAAATATAGGCTTAAAACAAGAAGCTAAGGCAGGGTTTCTCAGCCCTGATACTATTCAGTCAGATAACTCCTGTTGTGTTTGGGGCCGGGAGTGTTCTGTGTATTACAGAATACATGTATATAGCAGAATCCCTGGCCTCTACCCACTAGATGCCAGTAGACACCACCCCCACAGTTGTAACAATCAAAATTGCCTTCAGGCATTACCAAATATCACCTCTTCCCCACCATCAAAATGGTGACTATCATTGATAGGCAGGAATAGATAGGTATATGACCTAAGTTAGTCCAATCTGATCGAAAGACACACTTTGGTTGGGGTAACCAGTCTCTAAACTTACCATGGACAAGGAAAGAAGTTCCTTGGTTACGCTGGCAGGCTTCTTGCGACCACAGATGTTGGAAGTTTACAAAGAGATGAGGGAAAGCTGAAAAAATAGAAAAAGTATAAATAAGTGGTCATTCTTCAAACTTATGAGAAAAACAATTTTTCCAGGTCATGGCTCTATCTTACTTGGAGGCAACCATACTTCTAGAACTCCACTGTCCAATACAGTAACCACCAGTCACATGTGGCCACCGAACACTTAAAATGTGGCTAGTCCAAATTGAGATGCACTGTAAGTGTAAAATACACACAAGATTTTGAAAAATTAGTAAAGAATGTAAAATATATTATTAATAACTTCTATATTGATTATATGTTGATATGCTACTTTTAAAAAGAGATTTTATTTATTCATTTTTAGAGAGAGGGAAAGGGAAGAAGAAAGAGAAGGAGTGAAATATCAGTGTGTGGTTGCTTCTCATGCACTCCCTATCATGGACCTGGCCTGCAACCCAGGCATGTGCCCTGACTGGGAATTGAACCAGCAGCCCTTTGGTTCACAGGCCAGCACTCAATCCACTGAGCCACACCAGCCAGGGCTGTAATACTGTTTTTGATGCATAGGTTAAATAAAATGGTATTGAAATTAATTTCACTTGTTTCTTTTTGCCATTTCAGTGTGACTACTAGTAAACTAATATACTATATGTGGCTTTCATCTGAGATTCACATTACATTTTTATTGAACAGAGCTGCTCTAGACTACCTGGTTTTTGAGATAATTAATTTTCTTATTGTTTAATCCAGTGTAAATTAGATTGGTCTTTTTTCTGTAGAAAACATCATACTTGATATAAAAGACTACTATTTGTTAAACTCAAAAGCAGACAATATGTTTCAAGATTGAAGGACGTAAATACTTCAGGAGAAATTTCAGTTAATCCTTTTAATGATCTCTTACCAGCTTCCATTTAAAGGTTTGCTAACTAAAATACATTATAATTTTGGCAAATAGGAACTGCATAGAATTTATCTAAGGTTATTTTCTGTGACAAGGATATTGGAGCATCATAAAACTCATGGGCTAGTAAAATGCAAAGCAGTATTTGAATTATTTTCATGTGTAAGTGTAGCCTCACATTTTATATAGTTAAATAAAGCATTCTGCACAGGGTAGCATGTTAAAACTCTTGTATAAGAGTTTTAACTCTTATAAAATCAGGTATAAAATAAGTAAAATCAGGTATTGATAAAGGAAGAAGCACAATAAAAATTTTTATTTTTGAAAAGAAGAAATATAAATGGTAATGAAAATACAATAAAGAGTAAATTAAAAAGTAAAAAATGACCTGGCTGGTGTAGCTCAGTGGATTGAGCGCGGGCCTGCGAACCACACAATCGCGGTTCGATTCCCAGTCAGGGAACATGCCTGGGTTGCAGGCCGGTTCCCTGCAGGCCACTTCCCAGCAGGGGACGCACGAAAGGCAACCATACATTGATGTTTCTCTCCTCTCCTTCCCTTCCCCAAAGATAAATAAATAAAATCTTTAAAAATAAATAAATAAAAATCATGTGTTTAAAAAAAAGTAAAAATGAGAAAAGAAATGGAAAGTGAAAAATAAAGACAATGCCTTGAAAAAGAAGAGAGGAAATAGATCATTCAGGAAATTATAGATAAATCGGCTCTCTTCAACACATTATAGAACACAGAGAACTAATGTACAGTTGCCTTAAAGAGCATAATTTCAACCTCAAACTTAACATAAAAAAAAAACCCGGCTCCAGGCCATTTTTATTTTCTTCCATGATACACTGTCTACCAAAACCAAGGAGAGCACATTCACACACAATATTAGCAAACCTCTCTGCTCGTAACAATTAGCACTGTCCTGGACTAGAGAGGAAATGTCTACAAAATTACTCTATCTCATTTTTAAGTGATATAGAATGTATCTTCTCTTATAAATTAGTATAGGAGTTAAGCTATATTTATGTTCCTTCTAGAAGGATCAATTGGTTCATTCAATCAGCAAATATGTTTTGTGCATATTTACCCCCATGCTTTGGTAGGAGGTAATGGGGCATGATGTACAACATAGAAGACTCTTGATTGTCATGGGGATTGCAAGCTAGGGTAAGGAAGACAATGCCCATAAATACATAAAGAAATAAAGCAAATTTTGAAAATGTTGATCACATAAGAACTTTGCATTAAACTTAGATGCAGTTGTTAATATTTTAGAGGATAGAAATTAAGTTTTTAATGATCTTGATGCTCTACCAAACTGATTCCATAAAAAAAAAATGGAAATGAGTAGAAATGGAAACTGTTACACAATTAGGCTTAAATACTACAGATACGTGTTGATGAATACCTGGCTACATATAGAAACAAGCAGAAAAACAGCAAAATAATAAAAGTGGAATGAAAAAATTTCTAACTAAAATTTTCTGACGAGTGGCAGAGAGTAATATTTCAATTCCATCCTGCCTCAATCAGCCCACTTGTCAGACAATCCTTAGAGGGACATGTGCCTTTAGTAGAACACTTACTTCTTTGTTTACATTTAATATCTACTTCAAACATATTAAAAAGGAGTCATCCTGCTCCCTTCGGATGCTTCACAAAAGAAACAGACCCTGATGCAAGGGTCCACTCCAGTCACTTTCACAACCAATGTTATGACGGAATTATACAGTGGGCAGCATGTCCTCTCCACTCCACTGATCTGGTACTTTAAAATGCACTGCATGGCTAGTTATAAATTCTTTCATCGGCTCTCAAATGGATATACCCTGAGGAACACCCGAGATGCTTCCAGAAGCAAAGAAGCTTTCCGCATGGACGCCCTATATCCGACAATCCCCGGAAGCTGAGGAACTATCTGACCCCACAGCGATCCAATAAACGTTCTGGCTTAGCAGTGGGGAGAAGAGCGGATGCTATTTCTTGGAACCGTGCCTAAACACCGAACATATTTTCAAACCAATAGCTCTTTAAGAAATTATTCCCACCGCATAAAACCAAGAAATCGCGAGAAGACAGAAGTACGGCGGGTAGCGTCATTGCGCATTGCGTCTGCGCGCTGTGAGGCAACCCGCACTTCCGCCCGAGGAGAGCTGTCACTCACAGCCGTGGCCCGCCCGGCGCCGTGACGTAACGCTTTCTTTTCCTCTTGGTATGCATCCTGGGGCAGAGGGCTGCGGAGCTTGGAGCTGCAAAGACTTCAGGTCGCGCGTCTCGGGCCATTTCACTGCTAATCAGTACGGGATCTCTTTGCCAAGAGTGGGGAGGAACAAAGGAGTAAGGAAGGAGACCGTGAGCCGCCGGTCGCCGGCCGCCGTGCTCCGAGTGGCTTTTTCTTCGCTCCTGTCCGGAGAAGCGGGCTTTACAGTCGTCACTGGATTGTAAGTATCTGAGGTGAAGAGAGCTCACTGCGTCCTGCTTTTTCACTTTGTTTTGGGAAAGTTTGTGGAGTGGGTGTGTCTGCTGGGGCCTTGCTTAACTTTCTGTGCTGTAAATCATTCCGCAGGATCCGCCATTTGCTTCCTGCTCGCTAGCTCTCCGCATTGTCCGGCAGCGGCATCTAGAGGTTGGAACTTGGCATTGCAGCTAATATATTTAAATGGACCTGAATATACCAGTGTCTTTAACAACTGGTATTCAGTCACTGCACATTTAAAAAGACTTGGTGCTTATTTCAAAATTAAGAAAATAGACTCTTATCTGCTGTAGTACTTAAATATTTCAACCAATTACAAACTGGTCCTTCAGACTGTTGCAACAGCTGGAACTTTATAGTGCAACAAGTGGTTATTGGAGAAGTGAGTCTCAAAGAAATAAAGATGAGTAAGAGCAAAGATGATGCTCCTCACGAATTAGAGAGCCAGTTTATCTTACGTCTGCCTCCGGAATATGCTTCTACTGTGAGGCGGGCAGTACAGTCTGGTCATGTCAACCTGAAGGACAGACTGACAATAGAGTTACACCCGGATGGGCGTCATGGAATTGTCAGAGTGGACCGGGTTCCACTGGCCTCAAAATTGGTAGATCTACCATGTGTTATTGAAAGTTTGAAAACTATTGATAAAAAAACTTTTTACAAGACAGCAGATATCTGTCAGATGCTTGTATCCACAGTTGATGGTGACCTCTATCCTCCAGTCGAGGAACCAGTTGCTGCTACTGCTGCTGCTGCAGCTACTGCTGCTGATCCCAAAGCAAGCAAAAAAAAGGATAAGGACAAAGAGAAAAAGTTTATATGGAACCATGGAATCACTCTGCCTCTAAAAAATGTCAGAAAGAGAAGGTTCCGGAAGACAGCAAAGAAGAAGTATATTGAATCTCCAGATGTGGAAAAAGAAGTGAAGCGTTTGCTGAGTACAGATGCTGAAGCTGTTAGTACTCGTTGGGAAATAATTGCTGAAGATGAAACAAAAGAAACAGAAAATCAAGGCCTTGATATCTCTTCTCCAGGAATGTCAGGCCACAGGCAGGGCCATGACTCATTAGAACATGATGAGCTTCGGGAGATATTCAATGACCTCAGCAGCAGCAGTGAAGATGAAGATGAGACACAGCATCAAGATGAGGAAGATATCAACATCATCGACACAGAGGAAGATCTGGAAAGACAGCTACAGGACAAGCTAAATACATCAGATGAACAGCACCAAGAAAATGAAGGAACCAGTCAGCTAGTTATGGGAATTCAGAAACAGATTGATAACATGAAAGGAAAGCTCCAAGAGACCCAGGACAGGGCAAAACGACAGGAAGATCTCATCATGAAAGTGGAAAACCTGGCTCTCAAGAACAGATTTCAGGCTGTGCTAGATGAACTCAAACAAAAGGAAGACCGAGAAAAGGAGCAGCTCAGCTCTTTGCAAGAAGAGCTAGAATCACTCCTAGAGAAGTAAGAAGAGTTTTTGATACTTAATTTCATTCCATAGAATGATTAGCATTAGAAGAAAAATTTTGGCTTCATCACCTGGATGAGATACAACTTAGCAGTAATTCCCATTTCCTCTGCTCCTATTGAATTTGCATTAACAGCTATAAATGTGCATGTCTATTTCATTTGTCTCTTACAGCTTTCCTGGGTGTTTATTCTGTGGGAAGTAGGAATGTATGACAGATAAATGTAGAAAAATTACAGGACTGAACAGTGGAATGAACAGTTCAACCTTAGTAGTCATGACTTCACTGCAGGACTTTGCTGCTGTTTATTTGTCAGGAGCTGCTATTGCTGGTCTGTGATGCCATCTGAGATCAGTAAGAAGATCAGTGAGATCAGTAGCCTAGAGGCTAGTGAATCTAATTTGCATATGCTTTCCCATGCAGTAGCTATTTTTCAACATGTAGAGTTATAAGTCATTTTATAAAGTTGTTTTAACACAATAAAAACTAGTTTTTACCTCATAATGTGTTTTGCACTTTTAGGGGTAGTGGGTGTCAGATCCACTTGTGAGGTGGTTTATTGGTGGGGTTTAATGACTGAGAAATTTCATCCTGTTTTGTAGGGAAAGAAGCATCTATGTTGGGTTTTAAGAAAAAGACAAACACAACAGGTTTAAAAAATTGGGAAAAGTCTTTGTATTTTGTTAAGGTTCTGATCCATTTGGAGGTTAAGAAACGAGATACAGAATCTTCCTAAATTATCCTAATTTTTATACATGAAGGTCTTTTTTTAGTGCTTTGTGGGTTTTTTGTTTGTTTTTGTTTTTAAGAGCACTATAGTCATCCGCTTAGTATATTAGAAACAAAACAAATCCAGGACTATCAAGTACAGTTGAATAAATTATTCCATTGGGTTGGACTAAGATTATATACCTAAATATCTTAACTTACTTTCTGTAATTTAGTATTCTGAGAACTGAGGTGATTTGTCCATATCAGTTTATCAGAACTGCTCATATAGGAAGTTGGTACATAGTCGGATATTTCAAAATTACTTAAGCATAATTTTCACGATTTTTAAAAATAAGTGCTAAAGATTGTAATCTAATGCCTCCACTTGAGCTATTTGGAAGACTGATAAAATTTACAAAATGCAGAGTTGTCTATAATTCACTTACAGCATTAGTTCATAAAGAAAATCTTTGGTTTGAAAATATTAGCCTCATGAAGCAAACATTTAAAGCCCATTATTGGCCAGATATTTGACAAGAGACATTAGAAATGGTAAATTTTCCAGACCTCTCAAGTCTACAATCATGCTGATAACTTCTGTCTTGCTAGCTGATCATTTTTCTTTTACCAAAATTTTTTCATAATTTTAAGATTTCAATATAAAGTGTGGAGGCTTAAGCAAAGTTTCTCTCAATATCTAGGCTTTGGATTATTTCTTGAGATTTGCAAATAATGAGGCAAGTTTTCCTAGTACATGAGGGTGGTAGGTAACAAATTTTGTTTAGTGCATTGGGCATTTTGCTATGATATTGACACCTGAAAAGCTTACATCTTATTTGGCTTTACAGTAGATCATTTATCAAAATAATTCTTAGGAAGACCTTAACACTAATGATGGTTAATTTTCATTAATAATGGGAAGGAGAGATCTGCACACAAAAGCAGAATTAGTGATTTGATTACCCCCATTTCAGTTTTAAGCTCTGCTGATTTTCAAATCCATATTTCTAAACCCAGTATCTTTTGAACTTCAGATTTAGTATAGTCAGCTGTGTATTGGGAACACTCACTTATAAGTGTTACTTCAGGCAACTCAAATTTAAATGTTCAAAATGGAGCCCTTTATTCCTTTTCTTGAAGGCTTGTTCTTCCTGTTTCTACCACCATCCCAGTTGCTGAAGCTAGAAAATAATTTTTTTAGACATTGTGTTTATTTTTAGAGAGAGGGGAAGGGAAGGAGAAAGAAACATGGATCTATCGTTGCAGGCACCTGGCCCACAACCCAGGCAAGTGTCCTGACTGGGAATCAAACTGGTGACCTTTCAGTTCACAGGCAGGTGCTCATTCCACTGAGCCATACCAGCCAGGGCTGAAGCTAGAAATTTAACTCATCATCTTTGACTACTCCCCTTTACTACTGATTTTACTTTTCTAAAAAGCTCTTAAGTCACTCTACTTCATCTGCACTGGTACTGTCCTTGTGTAAGCCATTATCTCATCTAGCAAGTAACAGTAGCTTTCTTTGATTTGGCCACCAAAATAAAATATATTTCATCATGTCACTCCTGTGCTTAAAACCATTCAGTGGTACATCATTATTTCAGGATTAAGTTTATATTTCTTTTTTTTTTTAATTTTATTTATTTATTTTTCGAGAGAGGGGAAGGGAAGGAGAAAGTGGGAGAGAAATATCAATGTATGGTTGCCTCTCATGCCTCCCCTGCTGGGAACTGGCCTGCAACCCAGGCATGTGCCCTGACTGGGAATCGAACCGATACTCTGGTTCACAGGTCCGCACTCAATCCACTGAGCTACATCAGCCAGGGCTATTAAGTTTATATTTCTTTAAAAGGTACACATGAGTATGTGTGTTCTAGTTACCTTTTTAGCCTTATCATATCCTCACTGTTTTCGATCCAGACTGAACTTATTTACATTTTTTCAAGGAGTTTAATTACTCCTTTTCCTCTCTTGGGCCTAAGAACCTTTTGACATGCTGTTCACTTCACCTAAAATACTCTCCCCTTTATTTGGCCATGTCCTACTTAACTCTCAGTCTCAACCTAAATATCACTGGTCCCAGTGTCTTTCTTGAGCTCCATCTAGGTTAAGCAATTCTATCACAGCTTTGCCTATACCCTGTATTTCCCTTCTTTTCAACAAGTATTTATTGTACTGAGCAATACCAGACACTGTATGAAGTCCTGAACTAAATATTTAGTGTTTGTAGTCTCTTGAACTCTATATCAGTCTAGTGGGGTAACTGGCTTGTTATGCATTTATCACACTAAAGTGTAAATTACCTATTGCTTATACCCTCCACTGTGCTATAAATTCACTAAGTAGGCACTTTTGCTTGTTAGTCACTAAACTTAGTACATCATAAAGACATTAAAATTTCAAGGTCAAGAGATGTAGTGCCTGGGTCTCTATCCTAGCTCAGTGACTTACTATATTATCTTAGGCAAGTAATAATCTGTTTGCCTCAATTGTCTCATCTCTAAAATGGAGGTGATAATATATTACCTACCTTATTAGAGCTGTTGAATTTTTGGCTGTTGGCTATTGAGTTGATACAAATAAGGGATTTAGAACAGTGCCTGGAATATAGTAAACAATAAAAACATTATTTCCTACTTAACTAAGGTCTGAACATAATAGAGGATTAAGTAATTAGTTGAATTAAAGAGTTACCAAGATGGTGGAAAAACGTACAAAGAAACAGCCATTGTAAACGTGGTCGACTGATTTCAAATAAAGTATAAATTACAGTAATCAAATAGTTTGCTTATAATATATCTACAGCATAAATAAGTCGACTTACTATTGTAACTTTATTTTTTATTTGATTTCCTTATGGCTTGGCTTTACACTAATATTAAAAACTCCACAATGTAGAGTAATTATCTGTTATATAAACTCAAAAAGGGAAGGACTTCAATGAAGATTGAGATCCATTTCCCTTCAAATAAATTCAGAGTTATAAGAAAAGATCCAGCTTTATCAAGGGGGGTTGCATTTGGCCAATGAGTGTGGGTGTGATTGGGCTACAGTTTTCAGTATTTCTGGGTTCAAGAGCAAAAATTATGAAGAAATCTTTAAAATTAGTGTTTTAAATATTACAGAAGTAAGAGACTCACTGAAAAAAATGAAACAATACAGCAATTTTACAAAAAATAAGTCCCTTTCACACCAACTTTCTAGGGTAAACTTAACATTTTGATATGTGTCATTCCAGTCTTTATTTGTTATACAACTAATTGTATACGTATGTGTAGTTCTGTAAAGCAAAATAAAAATATTATTTTGTTAGAGACATGATTCTGTAACTTCAGAAATACATTGTGCACCCTGGCCAGGTAGCTAAGTTGGTTAGAGCATCATCCCGATATGCTAAGGTTGTAGGTTCAATCCCCAGTCAGGGCACATACAAGAATTAATCAATGGGTGCATAAGTAAGTGGAACAATAATGTTACTTCCTCTTTCTCCCCACCTCTCAAATAAACTTTTTGAAAAAACATCATGAGCCCTGGCTGGTATGGCTCAGTGAATTGAGTGCTGGCCTGTAAACCAAAGGGTCACAGGTTTGATGCCCAGTCAGGGCACATGCCTGGGTTGTGGGCCAGGTCCCCAGAGGGGGTTACATTAGAGGCAACCACAGAGTGATGCTTCTCTCCCTCTCTTTTCTCCTTCCTTTCCCCTCTCTTTAAATTAAAATCAAAACATTATGAGTATCCTTCCTTAGTATGTGTAGATTTGCTTTTTTTTCCACAATATAGGTATTTTCTTAATTTTGTCTACTCTCATATTGTGCAGTGTTTAATATATGCTGGGCTCTGTCCTCTCCAAGTCCAGCTGTTTAGTGAAACTTGATCTTCATCTCTTACTATTTACGCAGCTACATCTGACAATTCAATGAAGATATACACTATTTCCCTATTAATGGTCTTGTGATCCCTGGCCTTTACTAATCTGTTTTCTCCAAAACACATACAAACTTACTGCAAAAGCAGTTGATTTATTGCAGTAACCCTGCATTTCTTCTGTTTATTAAAACAGTATGCTTTTAGAAAACAGTGAATCAGATGTAATTAATTGAAAATCAGTGGTCATTATTAAAACATTGAATGCACTTCTAAATAACTCAATAGGGACTCCACAATAAATATTAAAATACACTTTTTTCTCCCTGTCTTCATTGAAGGTCTATCAAAGAATAAAAGCTTCCCTCAAATATGACATGGAGGATTTAAAAATCTTTTTCTAGTTTAAAATGGAAGATTATTTTCACATATCTTTGTCAAAAAGCCTGCCAAAATAACAGTTACCCCCCCAAGGTTAAGAGAAGAAGAGGTGAGACAGCATTATGTAATAGATGTCAAACCATTTTCAGAAGGTCAAAGCAGATAAATGATAATTCAGAAATCAGAGAAAGTTACATGTAAAATGTCTGCAAGGGAGTGTATCAAGAAGAATGAACCCACTTGACAAAGAACCTGTGAGATTTTTTGCAAGCAGAAGTTTCCAAGGAAGGGGAATGCTGTGGGGCTGGAAACGGGATTCATTAAAGTCTGTGTTCAGAGCTGTTGAATATCCAAGATCCCTGTCCGAGCCTAGCAATCTAGGTGACTCCCTTCCCCACCCACAGATGGAATGTTTCTTTTTGTTTTATTATATTTTGGAAAGTTTATTTTCTAGGTAAATTGAAGCAAAGACTCAAAGTCAGAGAAAGGCATAGATGAAGGTTGGGATGTATAGCATCAAACAAAGGAATTATGTTAAAATCTATATCCTTTACTGCAGGAATGTTGCCCATTCTTCCCCCATCTTGGTCTTATTAAATCAGTATCCAAAAGATATCCCTTCCTCTCCCTCTCTTGCCCAACACACACACACACACACACACACAGTCAGTCGGAAGATTATTCTCTGAAAAATCCATGTGGTTCCTGAGAAAATATAGCCAAATACACGTGGACATTCTCCAAGAAGAAGCCAGGTCACATTATTTACGACAATATAATCTGTTGACAAGTTCTACCAATGCAGAATCTACTTTTTAGTGCCTCACTTTTAAATGTTGACAGCCAAAGATAATCAGATGAGGAAAGCTTTCGAGATGGAAAAATCATTTCAGTATACTTGCTGCCCTTTTCCCCCATTTTTGTTTTTAACCCCCATAGTAAAGTCCCAATTAGGCCTTGGAATGTGAACATCTGGGAAGAAAAAGTGTGTCCTAAAAGCGGTACCCTCACTAATGTCCCAAACCTCTCCTTACCTTGGAAGCTAGAGCAGTCATATATATCCCGAATTTACGCCACTGCTGCGCAAAACCATGGCTTAAAAACCTGGAACTTAGCAAGCACAGACAGCTGGAACCACACAGCCCTTTTCCTACCAAGTTTTTTTTAGCAATATATAAATCTCTTTTCCAAGCCGAGTAAAATACCTGTAGAAATGAGGACTCAGTCCCACCAGCTTCCAGGGCTCTAGCCACAGGCCCCCTGCGATGTTGCTGCAAAATTGCCCTTCTCTAGCTCTGCGGGGCTGGCGTAGGGCTCAGGCCCTTCCAGCGACCCAGGAGCCGGACCTCGAGAGCCCCTGCGGAGCTGGTCCCTCTGCTGAGCCTCCATTCTTGTCCCAGAGGGGATGAAGGGCTTTCTAGTTAAAAGCAGCCGCCCGCGCCCCCCCCCCCCCAGTGGTTGGTTTGTCTTCCCTATTTAAACCTCTCCTTGGGTAGATCGACCCTTGACTCAAAGCTCCAACAACTGGTAGCGGCTCCCATTTTGTCTCTCAGGGACACTTGGCTGGGTGGGGGGGTGGAGGGACTGGCTCAACAGGAACCTATCCCCCGCTTCCGCCTCTGGAAGAGCAGCACCAAGAGTCCCCCAGTGCCTGCAAAAATGTGTCGCGTAGCTTTCAGTTGGTGTGCTCATTAAAGGTTTACGTATTCAGGCCTAGTGCCCGGCGTGCAGGCTGCGGAACGCAGTCTCGTGGGAGAGCTCTCGCGAGACCACAGTGTGGGAGTTACTTCAGGGCTCCGGGAGACGGCCGCGGCCTGGCCTGGGGTTAAGCGGCTTTTCCTGCAGCAGAGTGAGGGCTACGGGTAGGCGGCGGGGCCAGAGACGCCCACCACAGCTCCAGAGAACATGAGGTCCAACCCTGCCATCCAAGCGGCCATAGACCTCACGGCAGGGGCCCTCGGCGGCACCGTGTGTGTCCTGACTGGGCAGCCCTTCGACACAGTGAAAGTGAAGATGCAGACCTTCCCCGGCCTGTACAAGGGCATCACCGACTGCTGCCTGAAGACGTACTCCCAAGTAGGCCTGCGCGGCTTCTACAGGGGGACCGGCCCAGCGCTGATGGCCTACGTCGCGGAGAACGCGGTTCTCTTCATGTGCTATGGCTTCTGCCAACAGTTTGTGAGGAAAGTGGTGGGACTGGACAAGCAGGCAAAGCTGAGTGATCTGCAGACTGCAACCGCAGGCTCCTTGGCATCAGCGTTTGCTGCACTGGCCCTGTGTCCCACTGAGCTTGTGAAGTGCCGTCTACAGACTATGTACGAAATGGAAATGTCAGGGAAGGTAGCCAAAAGCCATCCCACAGTTTGGTCCGTGGTGAAGGGCATCCTTAGGAAGGAAGGCCCCTGGGGCTTCTACCACGGGCTCTCCAGCACTCTCCTCCAAGAAGTACCAGGCTATTTCTTCTTCTTCGGCGGCTATGAACTGAGCCGATCGTTTTTTGCCTCAGGGAGATCAAAAGATGAACTCGGGCCTGTCCCTTTGATGTTAAGTGGTGGAATTGCTGGGATTTGCCTTTGGCTTGTCATATTCCCAGTGGATTGTATCAAATCCAGAATTCAGGTTCTTTCCATGTCTGGAAAACAGGCAGGATTTATTGGAACTCTTCTAAGTGTTGTGGAAAGTGAGGGGATAGCAGCCTTATATTCTGGACTGTCAGCTACTCTGATTCGAGCGTTCCCTGCCAATGGGTCACTGGTTTTGGCTTATGAATACAGCAGGAGGACGATGATGAGCCAGTTTGAAGCGTACTGAAGTGTCTTGGTGAACCTGGATCCAAATACACATCTTTGAGGACAATAGTTTATCTCAGGGTTTCATGGAGTACTGGACTAATGTAGAATTATTTTTTTTACTTCATAGGAATTTTGTTTTTGTTGTCTTCTATCCTAAATCTTAAACTTTATAGAAGAACCTTTATTTTTCATGTGCAATTTCTGCCCATCACTTGTACTGAAATAGAAAAGTTGCTGCTTTTGTATTTTGTAGGATATACACAGTGAGCAGGTGGCTCTATCTACCTAATCTGAAATGCTAAATGAAGTTATAACTGCTTTTGTATAAACCTGTACATACATACAGTTTGGTTTGTTAGGTGTTAGTGAAACACAGTTTGGATCCATTTAGTTCCGTGTCACCAGAAAAACCGATTTAACTATGTTTCATGAAGATGGTTAATGATTGCTTAACTTTCTGAAGATGTAGTTTCTATTTAAAATTGTGCTCTGTGCTAAGCAATTAAAGTTAAAAAAAATTGTGTGGTAATTGAAAACCAAAATACCCATCTAGGTTTTTTAAAAGATTTTATTTTTAAACAGAGGGGAAGGGAGGGAGAAAAACATTACTGTGTGGTTGCCTCTTGCACACCCCCTACTGAGAATCTGGCCCACAACCCAGGCATGTGTCCCACCCCAACTGGGAATTGAACCAGTGACCCTTTGGTTCACAGGCCTGCACTCAATCCACTGAGCCACACCAGTCAGGGTCCATCTAGGTTTTTAAGAAGAGAATATATGGCTGTGTCTCCCAATTCTTGAGTTTCAGAGTTGGCATCCTGGATTTTTCTAAGATGCTCTTAAAATACTGCCATCCACTTACTTTCAAACTGGGAACCTATTCCACACTTCTCTTCCCCAAAACCTCCCCTCTCTAGGGCTTTAGGTTGAGGAAGGGATTGAGGGGAAGGCTCTATGCTGTTATGCTTTGATGAAGACCCATGTAGCTAACAACAGTTCTCAGCTTTTAGTTTCTGAGTCCTGATCTGGGTAGGACTCCAGGGTGTTCTCTGGGCCCATTAGGAGTTGTTGATCCACTTTGGATTATTTCAGCAGTCAGGAACTCTTCCAGAGAACAGCGAAAAGCTTTTGTTCCCTGTTTGATGTTCAAGTGACAATATTCATGGATGAAGTCCTCTCCTCTCAGGCAGAACTAGACAGAATTTAGTGCTTATACTCCACAGTGAGGAATGTTAAGGCTGAACCATCCTGAAATGTACCTTGAAATCATGGTTATGCAGTATTGGAATCTTTTAAATTTTGTACTGACTATCAGTGAAGTTTAATGATAACTGTATATGGAGTGTGGCTTTATAAAACAATGAAAGAAAAGTAATTTTATTAAATTACACCATATATGTATGTACACATGCACAAACAAAAAAACCACAGTTTGTCTGATCCCACAAACTGTCACCACTAAAATAAGCCCCATTGTCCCTTGCTGCTCTAAGATCAGCAGAGTCTTCAATTAAAAGTCTTAAGCAGACTGTAAAGCTAAAAGCAAGCAGGCTACCAGTCTTTTTTAAAAAAATACTTTATAGTTCTTTGTCTTAAAAAAAGATTTTATTTATTTATTTTTAGAGAGGGGAAGGAAAGGACATAGGGAAAGAAACATTGATGTGTGAGAGGTTGCCTCTTGCATATGCACCAACTGGGGACCTGGCTCACAACCCAGGCATGTGCCCCAGCCTTGAATTGAACCAATGGTGTTTCACTTTGGACGACAATGCCCAACCAACTGGTCCACACCTGTCAGAGCGCTACTAGTCTTAATAACAGTTCACACAAATGTGTGTGTATCACTGTCAGCAGAACATTAATCTTGTGTACAATCTCCAGTTTCCTGTAGCTTTTGCTATTTGTAAAGCTTCTGCTGAAATCATGGTCCAGTATTTGGGTGCAATTTTTACCATTTTGGATCTGTATTCCAGACAAAAATATAATAATGTAAAATATTGTGTTTAAAGAAATTGGGTGTCACAACATTAAATTATTTACCTAAATAAAATATTTCTTTAACACACCATTTACAATATTCTGTATTGACTTCTGGGTATGCAGACATTAATATGTGGATTCTGTTCTCAAAAATAATTTTCTTTCTTTCTTTTTCTTCTTCTTTTTTTTTTTTTGATAGTAACTCGCCTGCCAGACTCTCCTGTTTATAAAAACTTTCATTTTGTAAATCTTCTCTGAGCATCCTAGCTGCTAGATGGGATGTTTTATTTATAAATCACTTGATAAAGCCAATTAGATCTTCATATTTACTCAGCTGAATATTGTTTTTTAATATAGCACATCCATTAACTCATAGTGTTTCCTTTTTTATTGAGGTATAATTGACCTATAACATCCACTTATTTATTATTTTGTGTAGTAAGGTGATATTTATTTCTAAGATTTAAATAGATCAAATCCATTTTTCCAATACCTAGTCTTATTTTAAACTTTACTTCCACATGGCATAATTTACTCAACTTTGAAAAATCTTTCTGATATTTATTCTATTATTTGTCCTAAGGTCAAGGCCAGGTGGTCCGCATGCTACAGTGAAACTGTAGCTAGAAATTCCTTCTCTGTCCTAGCTGTCATAGGATACCAAGCTGTAGCAATTGTTAGGTATATGTGACATCTCAGAAGGATCATATCTAGCAAAGGTATTAAACCTGCCATTTTCTTTAATTGAACAAGAAGATACCCTCAAGTTGCTGAGCTTGGAAGGAAAGGAGTTTCTTTATCTTCTGTCCCAGAGTTCTAAGGAGGAGTGACAATTATTTCTAGGAAGTTGTTACATACATAAAATAGTCACAAGAGGTTTTTTACTCAAGGCCAGAAAGTAGCCTTCTGTTCAGAGCCTACATTTCCAGCTTGAGTGTTATCTGAGTTTTGAAATCCCTGTTTCTAAATTCTGTAACTCTCTGTTCTCTTGGATCTTATCCAGATCCAGAAGAAATGGCCCAGAAGTCTCTGAGAGACTTTTTAGAAGTTTTTATATTGTTTCAGTCTTGGAACTGTCGTCTAAGCCTGGGACCTGCCATGAGCTCCACCATCCACAGTATTCTCAGCTCCCTTCTAGTGCCAGCACTTAAACACTGGATCCTCATCAATGGACTAGCATCTTCTTGCCAGTCACCCTCTTCAAGGTTGGTAGTGGTCATCAGCACTGATGCTCTGTTCATTGCATGAAGCTTAATGGCTTTTTCAAAACCATATCAGAACATTTGGTATTAGTGGCTTTAGTCTGCACCTTGAGATGGAAAATTTCACGGGTGGGTAAGTAGCTTTGTAGAAAATTGACCCCTCTAAACAATCTTGCATATTCTGTGAGTGAAAAAAATGTCCCCAAAAGATATTTGTTTCTCCAGGTAAGTGTCTATACAGTGAGTATTTCTACTCCAACCCAAAGGAGTTTCACTGGGCCCTCCTCAGCAACCTGGACTCTCAGCAGACATTAACTAGCGCATCTTTCCACATACCTTGCTCACTGATTTATATACAAATAGCTCTCTGTGCATTCAGAGGAAAGGCTCCTTTCTGCCTTTGGAGAATTGGAGAAATGGCAGATGGGCTCTTTTCTAGCCAGTGCTCAGGTTCCTGATCTTGGTTCTTAGAAATACTGTCCCTAAAAAGCCTTCCTCATCTTCTCAGCACTAAATATAGGAATCTCCTCAGGCTCATGTGCCCACAAAGTCCACACAGCAAGATGAGTCTTCTGTTCCAAGTCTGGAGACTGCCATGGTACCAATTCTGTCTTTGTAATGAAGTACAAGATTTTAGCATACACTGGCTTTTATTTTTCTACTTTTTGCTTCTGCTTTTATGTTTGCTTCTCCACTTTGCTTTGCTGTCTGGGATAAATCTTAAAAAGTCTCTGTCTCTCACACACACACACACACCCACACACACAGATCTACTCTCTTAGTAACTTTCAAATATACAATACAGTACTGTTCCTCAGGACTTACCTTTTCCACTTTTTTATGGTATCTATTGATAGTCAAAGTCTTTGATTTTAATACAGTCAAATTTATTCTTTATTAATCCTTTATTCTATGGTCAATGTCTTCTTAGAGAAATAATTTCTACACCCAAGGCCTAAACTTTGTTTACCTATATTTCCTACTAAGAGTTTTAAAGGCTTTTTTTTTTTACATTTAAGTCTTAGATCAACTTGGAGCTGATTTTAACATTAAGATCTAATTTAATCTTTTTGTGTATGATTAACTATTTTTAATTGAACATTTCATCTTTCCTCCATATGATGGTGAAGTAGGGCCTTTGGGAGGTAACTAGGTCTGGAGCACTTTGCAGGGGTAGAGCTTCATGTTGAAGTTGGTGCCTTTATAAGAAGAGGACAAAACACCAGAGCTGCTTCCCTCAGCCTTGCCAGGATACAGAGAGAAGCCTGCAGTCTGCAAGCCAGGAAAAAGGCCCTCGTCAAGAACCGGATCTGTTGGCACCTTGATCCTGGAAGTATGTTCCCAGCCTCCAGAATTGTGAGAAATAAACATCTTTTGTTCAAGCCACTGGCCCCATGGTATTCTGTTAGAGTAGCCTGAGCAGACTAAGACAAGCTGACTTGCCATCTCTCTAATAGTCAAACATTCCATATATGTGTAAATCTATTTTTTTACCTCTCTTATTACATTTGGAAATATTTCTGTCTGTGCAGCAATACCAAACTATTTGATTAGTATAGATTTATAAGAAGTCTTAATTATTAGTAGGGCAAGTTTTTGCTTCTGCTCTTTTTTAAAAAGAAGTTTCCTAGCTATTATTGACATTTAATTATTTCATATAAATTTTAAAGTAATGGTAAAGTAGGATTATAATGTTTAAAGTAATGTACTGGGGAAGAAGAGAATTGATAACCTTAAAAAAATTGAATTTTCCAATTCATGAGCATCATATATTTCGCCATAAATGTAAGTCACCTTAATGTCTTTTTATAAAGTTATATAATTTCCCCATAGAGATCTTATACTTTATCACACTGTTCCTAGGTACTTGGTTTTTTAATAATTGTATCTACATTTTAAATGTCAATTTCTGTTTTTTGCTAGTTTATAAAATAAAATTATTTTATATTAATTTTTCAAATTCTTCAACCTTACTTTTAAACAATTATAATATTTTATTTGTAGGCACTTTTGGATTTTCAGTGCTTTCCTTAATAGCATCTGAAAATAATAACAACTTTGTTTCTTCCTTTGCAATCTGTGTAACTTGTATTTCTTTGTCTTATCATTGCTGGCCCAAACCTCCAGTACAATGTGACATAGATGTAATAGTGGGCATTTGTTGGTAATCTCAGAGGAAAGCTTTTAACATTTCACAATTTGTGCGTTTTGCATTAAGTGTTTTCATATTATTCAAAGACTAAGGAAATGTCCTTCTGTTCCTAACTTAGAAAGATTATCTCCCCCATGATAAGCAGAATTTAACAAATGCTTTTTATGTGTCTATAAAGATAATTGTGTGATTTTTCTCCTTTCATTTACGTCAATGAGTGCTACTGGCTTTTAACTTTCCTCTCTTGGTATCAGGGTTATGCTAAACAAATAATGTTTTTAGGGAGTGCTCTCTCTTTTTTTCCTATTGTGTAGAAGTGTTTGATAAGATTGGAATTATTTCTTCCTTAAATTTTTGGTAGTAGTCATGGCCAGATGGTCCTGAAATTTAATTTATTTAACAGTTTTCAGACTTTATCTAGTCTTGATGAATCAGTCTGATTATATTTCTAGAAATTTGTTTTCCAGCTAAATTTTGTAGCTTTCTGTCATGGACTTGTGTATAATATTTTGTTTTACCTTTTTTACTGTTTCTACAATATTTGAGTGGCCATTCCCCTTTCAATGCCTAATTATGGTTATATGTGCCTCCCCTGTAGTTTTCTTCTACATTGCCAGAGATTATTAATTTTTATTAATATTTCAAAGAATTAACTTCTGGATATTTGGATTAAATTCTTTTTCTTGGATACCTTTTTACTATTTCATTAATTTCTTCTCTTAATTTTTTGCTTCCTTGTCCTCTTTTTGGCTTATTGTCTCTTGTTTTTCTCATTCTTGAAAAGGACAGTTAATTCACTAATCTTAACTTTTCTCTTCTAATATAGTCAAGGCTTTTAACTTTAAATAGTGCTTAATTGAGTCCCACTTGTTTTGTTAAGGTCTGTCAAGATAGTTCAGTTCAAAATAGTTTCTAATTTTAGTGTGATACTTTTTTTTTACTCACAGGTTATTTAGAACTGAATTTTTAAAATTTCCAAACAGCCTTGACCAGCATGTTTGGGCATCAGCCCACAAAGGGAAAAGTCACGGTTGGATTCCTGGTCAGGGCACATGCCTGGGTTCTGACCAGGTCCCTGGCTGGGGGCATGTGAGAGATAATCAATTGATTTTCCTCTCCCTTTCTCTCTCCCTTTCTTCCCCTCACTGTGATAGGGGAAAAAAATTCCAAACATATGGGCTATTCTTTGTATCTTTCTGTTATTTATTTCTAGCTTAGTTTCATTTTGTTAAGCTCATATGTTCATATAGTTTTCATCTTTAGCTATTTTTGAAACATCTTTTACAGAAGACATGGTCAATTTTTATAAATTATGAAGAAAATAATATTCCTTCTATACTTGTTGAATTTGATGTTCTACACATGTCTAGTGAGTCAGTTTTCTTGTCTCTAATGTAGTTGTGTTTTTTCCAGGTGCTGAGCCAACCAGCCAATTCATTTGTCACTGTTCATCTATCTACAGGGTCCGGCAGAAGTAACACCTGCTTGAGTGTGGTTGGTAGAGTAACAGTATGGTTATAATAATTTGTAATTTTAATTTGAACATTTTACCTAAAATATCATATGATGTGCTTGAGTGTGATATTGTTATATTACAGTATTACATGCTTATGATTTTATAATAAAAAGGGGCGTTATTTGTGCTGGACCCTGTATATATATTCATAGCTCAGACCACTTCTCTTCCCATTAAAAGGGATGGCAAGTGTAGTGCTTACAGTTGTACTTATTTGAAAGGGTGGTCTTTTAAGGCCACTCTTGAGTAGGCCTATAATTCAGCAGTTAAACATTGTTGGCTTGAACCAGCCATCTGTGAACTTGGGCCAAGATCTTTTCTCCTCTGCAACTGGTCTAGAGAATCTTTCTGTGAAACTGTAGGTGTGAATTAGGACTTTGGTGCAATAGAAGTAGGTGCAATGAGAATCAGGATTACCTGTTCATGAAACTCCTGAACCTTCTTGGAGCCAATTCTGAATTTACTATTTCTATTATGTAAGGTTTTCTCTTGTACCAATGATGACGGCATAGTCATTTGGTATTTCGTAGTCAGCAACTCATCCTATCAGCATGATAGGTTCTATCTGTAGCACAGAGAAGTTATCTGCTGTAGCAGGCATGAGTTTGCACTGTAAGATTTGCACTGTAATTCTCCTATTTTCACTTGCCAGAAACATCACATGGCATCCTTATCCGCTATGGGCATTGCTAGCAACATCAGATTGGCTAGATCATATCAGACTGGCTAGTTTTGTAGCCTGGATCTGCTGTATATCCTACTCTCACTCCAGGCCCTGCTCAAACCTGGCAGCATTTTGCGCTCCAAATATGGTATATGCTGCCTCTAAAATCCAAAGAGGTCTTCCTTAGTGGCAAGAGATGCAAGAGATAATTTGTATTTGACTTCAGAGGGGATTTGCTGACATTCCTCAGACCCCTAAAATCATCACAGTTGTGGCAGACCCCTGAACCTTCGTGGGGCTAATCTTACTCTTTGACATGCATGTAGACCATCCAGGATCCTTGCCACCTACTGCTCACTAGGTTCAATTTTCATGATGTCATCACTATTGTTGTCTAACATTATCTTCTGCAGAATATTCAATGTTGAGGTCTTCATGGAGCCTGTTACAAAAGAATGCCAAAAACTTAACACAGCTCTGAAGCAAGACAGTGAATGCTTTCTGCTGCCTTGTTGTGTGAAGATGAGCTTAAAGCTGAAATAGCCAGGATCTTTAGGCAATGTTGGAGAAGTGCTCTAGTGGGGATGGCAGTGCCCAGAAGAGTGCCATAATACAATGGAAATGGCTCACACAGGATTATGCTGCAGAGGAATGCAAGATATTCACAAGTGTGTGTGTGGGGGGGATCTTTTCTCCTAGGCCTGGCTGTGGAGTTGTGTGAGGAGTTACTGGATTTTATTGTCCCATGGGCAATGCCCTGTGAAGACCCCTCTGATTGACAAAGAGCTGCTTGGTTTGTGGGTGACAGTTCTAAGGTAAAAGGACAAGATCCTGTTTGAAAGGCTGCCACTCTGATGAAAGGAGGCAAAAACATCAGCTTCATGGGCTGAATTACATGCTCTTTCCCACAGTTATGGGAGAATGGAACAGCAGAAAAAGCCCTATGTTGGACTTTTTACTGGCCATATGATTATGCAGGTGGACTATTAAAGGGATGCCCATATGGGACAAAGCTCTATGGATATTTGAGGTATGCATTAAAGTACAACATGTAGATGCCCATCAGAATAAGTCCCTTGTAGGTTTGGAAGGTAATTGGAATCAACAAGAAGGTATATCACCCATTTGCCATTTTGAGAGGGCCACCTGGGTCTATACAATAAATGGGGCTGCTGTGGCAATGTGGAGATGGGCTTAATCAAGACATATCCCTCATGCACCTTCTGAGGCACAAAATGCCAAACCATTCTATTTGCTAACAAAAGAGACAGGGACTGTAGGTGGCTATTTGGCAGATTTCTCACTCTGCAGGCCCTGAACACAGCTGGCAAGTCAGACTGATGCTGGTTGCCCTGGGGGGGCTACAAATGGGTCCTGGCAGGAATAGACACTAACTTAGGACTGGGCTTAGCTTAGTTGGTGGTAGATGCAGCTGGTGGTAGATGCAGCTCACAGTATAATGAAAGAAACAGAACAAAAGATAATGTACTGATTTGGATGGCTCACTGATATGTCATCAGACCTAGAAACTCACTTTACGGCTGTCACATAATGTCCAACATTGGAAGACAGATATCCTCCTTAGCTAATAGTTTGCCAGAGAATGGACTCGGCAATTAAAACATCAGTTGTCAAAAATGGAAAATAAAAACACAAGGGGCTGGCTTACATGCCTAAAAGAGAGTGCACTCACATTCAACATGAACATGAGTGGGGCTCTGTCCCACTGGACAGAGTCATCTGTGTTTCTGGTGGATCTGAGAAGGAGGCTGGGGGAGGTGCTGGTATAGTTTTTTCCCCACTGCACCTCAACTCTTTTTTTCTTTCTGTCTGACACAATGGTCAGAGGACCAGGGCTGCAACTCTAGGGCTGAAAGCAGGGATGATTTCTAAGCAGAAACTGTACTGATGTTTTTAACCTTTTTGTTAGAATTCTTAAGGGTCTTATTGGGTAGGATGTGCTTTCACTCCATCTAGCAAAATTGGGATTAACAGTGCAGCTTCATTGCCTGGTGGTAAAGATAGCCCACTAGTTCTGTAACAGGGAGATACTTGCTAGACTAGTATTGCTGCCTTCTATCCAGACCAGAGTGACTGAACCTGATGTCCCTTCAAAAGCTGGAAATGTTTGGGATTAAATGGAAAGAAGAAAAAAATTGCTATGGGTAAAGGAATGAAGGGATTATAGGATAAGAGAAGTCCAACATTATATTAATACCCCAAAAGAGGCTCAGAGCAAGAGATGATACTCAAACTTTCTTCTTTGAGTATCTTTCTTATTTCTAATCTTATTTCTTTTTTTAAAGATCTATCTATCTATCTATCTATCTATCTATCTATCTATCTATCTATCTATCTATCTATTAGAAAGGGGAAGGGAGGGAAAAACAGAGGGAGAGAAACAATGTGTAGTTGCCTCTCATGCACCCCCAACTGGGAACCTGGCCTGTAACCCAGACAAGTGCCCTGACTAGAAACTGAACCTGCAACCCTTTGGTTTGCAGGCCAGTGCTCAATCCACTGAGCCACACCAACCAGGGCATAATCTTATTTTCTTTTATTCTGTGACATACTGGCCAAACCATTAGCCACTGCTCATAAATAAATGGTGTAATAGGTTGAATTGTGTCCTCCCTGAAAAAGTTATATTGGCATCTTAACTGCAGTACCTCAAAATGTAACCTATTTGAAGAAAGGGTCTTAACAGAGGCAGTCAAGTAAAAATGAGGTCATTAGTCCAATACGAGGGCACTAATCCAATATGGCTGTATCCTCATTAAATGGGAAATTGGGACACAGAAACAGACACACATAGAGGGGAGATTATGTGAAGAGACTCAGGGAGAAGATGGTTACCTACAATCCAAGGAAAGAGACCTGAAACAGATTCTCCCAGCTTTCACAAGGAACCAACTCTGCTAGCACCTTGGTAGCAGACCTCTAGCCCCCAGAACTGTAAGATAAACTTCTATTATTTAAAGCCACCCAGTTGCAGTACTTTGTTATGACAGCCCTAGAAAATGAATACAAATGGAAATCCATACCTTTGGCCATCTTTCTTTCCAGGAGAAGTGAACAGTCAGATGTACTGCTTGAAGTTCTTTCTTAGCAGGAGAAGAACCCTTCTGAGTCAGTTCTGTAGGAGGGAATACTCTAGCAGTCCTCGTATAGCTTGTGCCAGAAAAATTAGACCCAAATTTTCCCTCTTTAGTGATCTTATCACAGGAAACTCCCAATGCGACCATAGGTGTGGGTTGAGAGAGAGGTGGTAATGTAGAAGCAGTAGGTACATTGTCAGGGTAAACCATCCACTCATGAGACATGTTTTTGTTCCTCAGACCTGCTTGTACTACTTCCACTTGAACAAGGAGTGCTGCTACACATGAAACCAATCTTATGGTTTGATGAACCAGGTAACATCTAGTAAATTAGAGGCATCAAGTAAACTAAATTACACATGTTTATTTAGTGTTTCATAGTCAGAGGTTCAGTCTCTACTATGGTCCAATGGGAAACTAGAAGCTTTGTTAGTAAATTGGAATCTCTAGAAAGCAGGCTCTGAGACAGAGTTAAAGTGGAAGGTGTTTGCTAGATTCTTTGGGATTAATACCTGTGGAATGAAAGTGATGAAGAAAGGATTCAGCAGTGACCACTTAACAATGCAATAGGGGAACAAAGTACCTGGCTTGTTCATTTGTTTTTGCTGCAATATTGTGTGACTCAGAAAAATAGTCATTGGAAGTATTCTGAGAAGTTTGTGTTCACTATAGAAATTAGACCTTTCACAAATGTGGAGAAGAGGGTATCAAAGGATTGGAGAAAATCTCTAATCACTATAACCTGAAACAGGTATGAATGGGAAGGTTAGAGTTTGCAAGGAAATTCAAACAGCTGTGCCTGCCTAGACACCAAGGTAGACTATGAAGAGTAAGCTCACAGAGATGTTTGTGGAAGATGCCCCCTCTGATGGAAAGTTAAAGTGCTTGGTGATTGGCTTAGAGCTGATGTTTGGAACTTACAAACAGTTCTGGATTTGTTTTCCAACCTGCTACTTCCATATACCTTTGAGATTAGGGGCTTAATTTCTGCATTCCAAACTTACTCAGGCTTCTCTTTTGTCCAATTTTAACATATAAAGCAAATTTTAACTATAAAGCAAAGATAATTTGGAAACATGTAGTTCTAAACCTCATATAACATAATCCAGCATGACCATCATTACCATTAGATTTTGTACTCGTGGTCACAAGGTCTCTCTTTCAACCTGAAGTGTTTTGTTCAACTTGAAGGAGGAGCAAAGTACAAAAGGTTAAATTACCTTCTGAAGAAACCACCCTTTTTTTTAATAACTTTGCACATTTTTATTTACATCAACTTCTTACTGACCAAAACAATTAGTTGTAGACTACAGCAACTACAAAAATAGTGAAGATATATCTCTCAACAGTAAAGATAAATAACCCGAAAATTTCTAAGTTCTTTTAGCAGGGAAGAAGGGCAGAATAATATCAGGTAGGCAAGTTCCAAGGTCTGCCACAGTAGGCCAGAAAGAAAATTCCAACAGTACCCAAGTCAATAATATTACAATGACCACATGCATTACATATAGTGGGTATTAATTAGAAACAATAAAATGAATTTCAAATACACTTACTTGCATATTAAAAATACACTTTACTTCAATCTTCAGTCCAAGGTAACTTCACAATGGAAATGGAATATATATATAACAATGAATATAATACATATCAAAAGTTGTGTGATAGAAATGAAAGGGTACTGGGGGCAATAGTTATCACTGCAGAAGTTTATATTAGGGAATGGAAACTATAAATTATGAGCTAAGGATCACTTCAAAGATGAGACACTGATAAATTCCATATTTACAGTATTTTAAAGATTCCTCCTTTGTTATGAATTTCTTCATGCATAATAAGAGAAAAGGTGCACCTGAAAGCATTTCCACATTGATTACATTTATCCTATGTGAGTTTTCACAAGTCTTTGAAGGATGAAGGAAAACTAAAAGATATTCCATATTCTTTACATTTCTATCTTCCAGTATGAGTTCTCATTTGCTGACTAAGAAATGAGAAAGACTTGAAGGCTTCCCCACATTCTTGAGAATCCTATGGCTTCTATACAGTATGGGTTCTCACACGTGCACTAATGTAGCAATCATACTTTCCCACATTTCTTACATGGGTTTTCTCCAATGTGAATATTCACATAGCTTTGAAAAACTTTGATGTAAGTTAAGACTTTCCTAAACTCCAAATATTAATAGAATCCTCTCCAGTATGAGTTGTCATGTTTCCTCAGGGATGATGATAGCTGAGGGCATTTCATACATTCACAGTGTTTCTCACCAATGTGCACTATCACATGTACAGTGAAATCTAAAGAATGGAAGAAATGTTTGTCATATCATTTGCAATTATAGGGCCTCTCTCCAGTTGTGCTCATGTGGCTATTAAAGGAGGAGAGTAAACTGTAGACTTTCCCATATTCCTTATGTGCATGGAGCTTCTTTCTGGTATGTTTTCCCATTTATAGAGTAAGCTTTGGGGAATAAGTGAAAGTTTACCCATATTCCTTATATCTATTTGATGTCTCTGTAATGTGAGTTCTTAGATGTACAGTAAGGAATATGGAAGAAATAAAGGTTTTCTCACATTCTTTTACAATCATGTGGTATATTTTTAATATAAGTTCTCACATATGCCCTAAATGGTGAGGAACAACTGATTCTCCCACACTTTTTATATGCATTGAATTTCCCTCCAGTAAGAATTACTGCGTTTTCTGAGGGATGAAAAGAAATGGAAAGTTTCTTCATATTTTTTACATTATATAAATATAAGGATTATTTATAACATGAGGTCTTACACGTAAAGCAATAGATAAAAATGAATAAAGACTTTACTACATTATGTATATTCATAATATTTTTCTCCAATGTGAATTTTCACGAGTCCCAAGATACAAAGAACAGCTGAAATATTCTCAGCATTTCTTACATTATTATGATTTGTGTCCAGTGTGTGGTTCCATTTGAGTCTTAATAAATGAATAATGAAGGTTTTCTTTCATCCAATGAATTTATAGAATTTCTCTTCAGTATGAGTTCTCTTGTGCATAATTAAATTTGGAATCTGACTGAAGGCTTTTCCACACTGATTACCCTCATTATATTTCTCTCCAGTATAGAATATCTTATATACAGTAGATAGTAAGTTCTTTCTGGAATATTTTCTAATTTGATTATATTCATTGAGGTTCTCCACCATATGAATTCTTAAATCTCTCATGTGTCTTACAATAATTTTTGTGTCATGGCAAAAAAGAGATGAGGATTACATAATAGGTAGGGTTTTTTTTACATTGTAGGTGAAGTGCTATAGTACTAACTTAAGGCAGATTGTTATAGGTAAAGGCTATATATTCTTATCTTAGAGGGAATAAACTGTGAATGGTATAGGTAAAAGTCAATTTAGGATATAAAATGGAATACCAAAAAATACATAAGTAAGTAAAAAGAAAAAAGAAAATGAGAAACAAAGGAATGAAAACAGTATAAATAAAAATGCAAATTATATAAATAGACACAATTATATAATAATTATATTAAATATCCATGAAATAAATATCCAATTAAAAGGCAGAAGTGATGAGTGGATTAGAAAAAAGCAAGATCCAACTCTATATAGTTTTCAAAATATGTTCTTAAATATAAAGAGAGAATTAAAACACCTTGCCTGGGTGGCTCAGTTCGTTGGAGCATCATACCATGCACACAGAGCATGTGGGTTCAGTTCCTGGTCAGGGCATTTACTTAGGTTGTGGGTTTGACCATGGTTGGGGTACATACTGGGAGGCAACCGATAGATGTGTCTCCCTCACATCAATGTTTCTTTCTCCCTTCCTCTCTCTCTAAAATCAATCAACATATCCTCAGGTGAATATTTTCTTAAAGTTACTAAAAAAAGAGAGGATGAAGCCCTGGCTGGTGTAGCTCAGTAGATTGAGCACGGACTGTGAATCAAAGGATTGCCGGTTCGATTCCCAGTCAAGGCACATGGCTGGGTTGCTGGCCAGGTCCCCAGTGGGGGCCACTTGAGAGGCAGCCACAAATTGATGTTTCTCTCCCTCTCTCCCACCTTTCCCCTGTCTCTAAAAATAAATAAATATTTTTTTAAAAAGAGGATGAAAGTAAAAGGATAAAAAATATGTCATACAAACGCTAAGTATAAATATGAGGTGACTATTAATCTGAGATTTAAAGTATTATTAGAGATCGAAAGGGATGCTTCATAATGATTAGTGTCAATTCATCTAGAAGATAAAGTAATCCTATCTATGTGCATATCTAATAATAGAACTTCAAAATACAAGGGGTTTTAAAAAATTCTAGAAATAAAAGAAAAAATAAAATCACAATCATAGTTGAAGAATTTAACATTTTTCTTTCAGTAGTTGATAGAACAAGTAGGAAAATGGTAAGAATAAGGAAGATTTAAACAATATTATCAAGCAACTTGGTTTAATTGATATTCATAGAACACTACATACATTTATTTTAAATACACAAGGAAACTCACCCAGATAATACATGTGTTAGACACCAACAACAAAACTCAATAATTTCAAAGGGTTTAAATCATATAGACTATGTTCTCAAACCAAAACAATTATTCTGGATATAAAAATGATATCCTTAGACATTTGGAAATTAAACAACACACCTCTAGTTACACAATGGGTCAAGAGGAAATCATCAAAGAAATTACAGATAAATTCAAGCTAAATGGTAGTAAAACCATGATATCAGAGTTCATGAAATGCAGCTTAAGTAGTGCATAGAAAAAAGTGTATAGCTTTAATTTATATTTTATATATTTAATCTATATTAGGAAAGAAAGGTGCAGAGTCAAAAATCTAAACTTTCAGAGAAGCTACAAAAAGAAGAGATAACTAAAACCAAACTAGGTATAAAAAAAGAAATGAAAACACAGGAGTGGAAGACAAGGAAATAAAATAGAAATCAATAGGAAAGTAACAAAAACAAGGGTTGTTGTTTAAAAAAAGATTAATAAAATTGATACACTCACACACTGCTGATAAAAACAAAAGAAAAGAATACATATTTTACCAATATCCAGAATGAAAGAAGGGCACCATTTAAACATACAGAAAATATGATAAAGAAATATAATCAGTAACTTTAAGCCAGTAACTTTAACACTGTAGATAAAATGGGCAAATTACTTAAAAAACAGAAGTCACAAACTACATAAGAGTAAATAAAAAGCTGGAATTGCAGTATACCTAAGACATTAAGTTAGCAGTTGAAAGCTCTTCCCACAAGCAAAGTTAGCCATAGAAGGTTTCTGTGATAAATTGTGTCAAATACATAAAGGAGAAATAACAAATATCTCACATAAAGTCTTTCCTCAAAGAGAAAAGGAGGAAACAATTGCCAACTAATTTTGAGACCAGTGTAACTCTGAAACTAAAATCTATCAAGGGTGTAACAAGAAAAATTACATGTATACATACATATATATCTCAAAAACATAAATGCAAAAATTCTCAACAGTGTAGTAGCAAATTGAATTTTCCTAACATATAATATTTTTCACACTGCTGCATGCCACCTGGAAGAAAAACATATAAAACAATTTGCTTGCAATCACAGTCATGCAGGTGCTCTTCCATTCCCAGTCTGCTGGACTTCACTTCATCAGATCTGCTCGGATTGCTTTGTATTCTTCCATGGCTGCTGCTGCTATCCCATATTCTGAATGGAGAGGAACTTTATTCATGTCCACTGTTCAGATTCCAGTTGTGACCACCATCACTACTGCTGTAATGCTCAGTTGAATTTGGAAGTTGGAGTTCATTCTTTTTTTTTTTAATCATTGTTCAAAAAGTTGGAAACAACGAACAGGACCAGGACTAGGGCAAGGCAAATGTCTCAGAAGCAAAATGAATGAGTCACCCCAAAACTTGGTAGTAAAGACAGTCACTATCTAATGCAATATTCAAAAAAATCAAACTTAATGAAAAACTCCTGATGAACAAAATTTCAGTGTTTAAATCCTGTTTAAAGACAGGATTCAGCCCTACACTTACACAACTTGGCCTCACCCTAATCCCAACCTTGCCACATCCTGATGTCAAATTTATTGCTTTCTAATCTCATTGGGGGATAAGAAACCATATCTACGTAACACCTTTCTCTCTCCTAGGCTGCTCCTTCAAGGTCAAGAGGGCTACTAAACTTCTAGATTAAATAATGCTGCAATGTTACACTTATAAGAATTCCCTTAGTTTGCTAATATGATCTCTTTGTAGAATAAGTTGACTAACGCCAATTTTATTACATACATTAAAGGAAAATAGCTTTAATTTTATGGAAAAGCTATGGAAAATTAATGATTCTCTGGTATATATATATATATATATATATATATATATATATATATATCCATGCATGCAGTGCATCCCCACCATCTACTAAAGCTACTCCCCTTGACACACACATGCACACACACACATGCTCAAATGCACAAGTGTACACAAACACAAACACTGGGTGTAGCTGTGAAGTTCAAAAATTGTTTGAGGCATGACCATTCATAAACAGTGATACATTCCTATTGATTTTTTCATGATTAGCTGATAAACTGAAAGTAATGCTCTTTTCAAGGTATTCCAGATCAATCCATGAAAGACATAAGTATTAATCATTTGGAGATGCCTTTAAATTCTACACTTTACCAATAAAATATTTTTATTTTATTATTTTTAAATATTTTATTTATTTATTTTTAGAGAGAGGGGAAGGGAAGGATAAAGAGAGAGAGAGAAACATCAGTGTAAGGTTGCCTCCCTCACACTCCCCACTGGGGACCCAGTCTTCAACCCAGGTATGTGCTCTGACTGGCACTTGAACTGGTGACCGTTTGGTTTACAGTCCTGGGCTCAATCCACTGAGCTACACCAGCCAGGGCTCAGTAGAATATTTTTAAAGTGAGATGCAAAAGGAGTAGTGGATATTGACAGACACATTGTGGTCGCTGGGCCTGTTTCAGAACATGTACGTACTTATACTGAAAAGGTTGTTGGGAATTTCTGCTCCTTCCACCAGGCAGCTTCTACCAAAGCATGCAGATTGCTGATATGCTTATGAAGATATTCAGGACTCATACTTAGTCAATTCATCTCGCTAAGTAAAATTTTTGGCCCTGCTATTTACCTGCCTGAGAGGGAAACCAACGTTCTTGATTGCTGGATAAACACCATAGTCATCTTGTCAGGATGCCACTAACATGGGTCTAAATATTTGGCACTTATCAGCTCACCTTGTTCTATTCTCAAAAACTCAATGTTTTGGGTTGCTACCATCTGGGAATATTTCTTTGAAAGTTCAGTTACCTGTATATGTTTGTATTAGCCAAATTGCATGAAGATAAACACTCAGCCACAGTACCTCAGAATACTGCACTTGGATAGCACCTAAAGGAAAGCAAAACTACTCTTCTGACAAGCATCTCAAACATCTTCAACAGACAACCTGAGACCTAGTGAGACAACTGTGTAAGTGAAGCTTACTCATGGGGAAGGGAGATGTGTCAGTTTGGAATGCACTTGTCTGCGATCATCAGAAACCCCAGTTACAGTCATTAGTCACATAGGCGTTTATTTATGTTATGCAGTCTGGGAGAAAGTAGTTTGGAATTGTTGCAGTATCTTAACAACGCTGTAAGAAACAAACTGGCTTTCCATCTGATCATACTTAGCATATAGACCTTTGTTTTATAGTGCTCATCTTATGGCTGCAAGTTGACTACTTCAGCTCAAGGCTTCCTCCTCAATACCCATACCAGTTAAGAAAAAAGAAAATGGGAAAAGACCTAAGGCACATACCACCCCAGATTAGCCCTTTCAAAAATATTTCCCTTAAGCCCAATTCTTCAATGATATTTTTAAATTGTTAGCAATATGGAATTAAATGATGTACCACCCTGCAGGAAGTGATGGTAACATGAATATTTTAGCCTAGGAAAAGAAAAATGAGGTTGGAAATTGATTTTTTAGTAAACACATGCATTCATCTCCTATTGCAGCTATAATAAATTACCATGAACTTAGTGACTTAAAAACATATATTTATTATCTTACAGTTCTTGAGATTAATAGTTTAACTGTGCTAAAGTTAAGGTAAGGCTGCATTCATTTCTCGAGGCGCTAAGTAAAAATAAATTTTCTTGCCTTTGCTAGCTTCTACATGCTACCTGAATTCCTTCACTTGTGACTCCCTTCCATCTTCAAAGTCAGTAGTGGCTGGTTCAGTCCTTTTCACATAATTTCACTCTGATACCAACTCTTCTGCTTCCTACTTCCACTTATTCTTAAGGGCTCTTGTGATTATGCAGGAACCGCCTGGGTAACCTAGAGCAATCTCCTTCCTTAAAGGCCAGCTGATATCAACCTTAATTTCCCTTTACCACATAACACCCCTGGTTTTTGCACCAGAACATGCTTTCCTGATAATGAATCTCCTCATTTTAGCATCTTTCACAATTTGAATAGGCTGTGAATTCCCCAAATCACTAAATTCTGGTTCTTTTTTGCTTACCAATCCTTCCCTCAAACTGCCTCATTCCTCTCACTTTTTACTAAAAGCAGCAAGAAGAAATCAGGCTGCAACTTCAACCCTCACCTGGAAACCTTCTCTTTAAATATCCAAGTTCATTGTTTACAAGTCCTTCTTTGCACATTTTCACTGAAGGACACAATTTGTAAGTTTTCTGCCACTACATAACAAGAATTTCCTTTCCTTTGGTTTCCAATATCATTTTCCTCATTTCTGTAAAGCAATATAAGTTTTCTCCACCATACTCCTTACTTTCTTCAGAATCTTTGCTATCAGAGTTGTTAACATCCATATTTCAATAGTCTGTCCAAAACAATCCAAGCTTTTTTTTACCATGCTCTTTAAAATTTTTCCAGCCTCTGTTCACTGCCCAACTCCAAAGCAACTTCTACATTTTCAGTTATGCGTTACAGCAGCATTCCATGTCCAGGTACCAACTCCATATCAGTCAGGGTTCGACCAGAGAAACAAGACCAGCAGGGGATATATATTAAGAGACTTATTGCACAAAAGTGATTTAATCAATTGTGAGAGCTGACTAGGCAAGTCCAAAATCGAAAAAGAAGGCAATTAAAAAGGCCAGCCTGCAACTCTGGGCACACGCTGAAGCTGCTGTCCATGGTAATAATTCTCCTTTCTTCTTTTTAATCTAAGGGAAGACTCAGCTATGCTTTTAAACCCTTTCAACTGACTGAGTCGGGCCCACCCAGATCATTTAGGATGTTTTCCCTATTTTAAGGTTAGGTGATTAGCAACCTTAATTCCATCTGAACCTGACACCCCTTTTGCAATAACACATAAAATATTCACAGGTTCCAGGGAATAGGATGTGACGGTCTTAAGGGGGCCATTATTCTGCCCACCACACCATTCTATACAGTATCTGTGAAGTTAAGAGGGTCCTGGAGATTGAGGAGTCCTGACAATAGAGCTGATTATTTCTTCAGATCATTCATCACTCCCATTAACATATCATTAATACATTTTCTTTAATTAATATTAATTCCTTAATGTATTTTTTCAGATTCCATATCAACCAGAACAATATCATGGTCCAGGACAAGTAGTTAGATACTGGCCTGCCGTACCATCCAAAGTTTCTCTAGGCCCAGAATTTGGAGCTCATATGAGAATTTCTCTGCAATAGCAAGAGACAATTTCAAGCAATTCATTACCTGGTCCTAGAGTCTGTTGACCTTTAAACACAGTCAATCTGGGTACCAATAAACTTCATAGAACTCTTATCAGGATTATAGCTTCAGTTAAACATGAGGAAGAATTCAGGAGTTTTTCAACATTAGAAAACAAAGGAAGGAGCCTTGACTTGAGGTGGTAAACACACAATATAATATACAGATGTTGTATTGTAGAACTGTATACCTGATACCTACATAATTTTATTAACCATTGTCATCCCAATAAACTCGATGAAATAAAATAGATAACAAAGATATATTTTCATGAGATGGTATGTATTTTAGAGTGAAACTCTAATAATTACAAGTGTGATTTTTATATACACAGCATAAAATTATAATATGACTGCCTATTGGTAAAACAAAAATGCAAACAGAGCTCGAAAGAAACTGGACATGGGTGAATGCAAATTGATTCTGTCCAGAACAGAAAATAGGTTGTAAAACAAATTATAGCGATATAAATAATAAAAACTAAAAAAAACTCTGATAATTTAAAAATGAAGTATGATAGAAGGGAATCAGATATTTATATGTAGTGTCCTATAGTACTAGGTGAGTAATTTTAAAATTAGAATTATGTTTTTTTGAAAGGTTAACTTTCATATTAACCTTTACTGCAAAAAAATTTAGTCCGAAATATGACATTTAAAAATTTTTTACTAATAATACAATAACTGGAAAATAATTATAACACAATAAAACAAAGAACAACTTTATTAAGGAAATTAATAGAGAAAAGGAAAAACAAGTAAAATTAAAGGCTACTAATGAATTTTAAAGAAAAGGAAAAGGAGACAACACTAATGCCGCAAGTGGGGAAATCTCAGATTCCTAAACTATTATGGAATGTTGGATTTCCCTCCGACTTCCTCTCAATGTCCTGGCCTAGAAGATTGGGGAAGATAGGCTTTAAGAATTTGAACTCATTACTCCCAGAGCCTCCCTTCAGACACACCTCGTACTGGTAGCTCTGGGACAGGGTCCCTGTACCGCTGACGTCCACCAGGTGGCCCGGAAAGTGGCCCTCGGGCACCGAGCAGCCGCCCACCAAGCCCGCCCTGCCCCTCCTGCACAGCCGCACCGCGATGAACGCCAGCACCGAGAACAGGAAGAGCGACGACACCGACGCCAGCGCGATGACCAGGTAGACCGTGAGCGGGTCGCTCTGGGCCGCGGCGCCCGCCGCCGCTTCGGGCAGCGGCAGGTAGGCCTGCGAGAAGCCGTCCACCAGCAGCACGTGCAGCGTGACGCTGGCCGACAGCGGCGGCTCGCCGTTGTCCTTCACCAGCAGCAGCAGCCTGTGCTTGGCCGCGTCGCGCTCGCTCAGCAGCCGCGCCGTGCGCACCTCGCCGTTGTGCGCCCACACGCCGAACAGCCCGGGCTCCGTGGCCTTGAGCAGCTGGTAGGACAGCCAGGCGTTCTGGCCCGAGTCGCCGTCCACCGCCACCACCTTGCTCACCAGGTAGCCGGGCTCGGCCGCCCTGGGCACCAGCTCGGTGCAGGGCGCAGAGCCGTTCTGCAGCGGGTAGAGCACGAAGGGCGCGTTGTCGTTGGCGTCCAGCACCTGCACGCGCACCAGCGCCTGGCTGCTCAGCGCCGGGGCCCCGCGGTCTGTGGCGCCCACCAGGAACTCGAACGCCTGCAGGGCCTCGAAGTCCAGCGCCCTCAGGGCGAACAGGTGGCCGTTGTCGGCGTTGATGGACACCAGCGAGTGGAGGGGCAGGCTGGGGTCCTGGGGCTGCAGCAGCGAGTAGGTGACCTGGGCGTTGGCGCCCGCGTCTGTGTCTGTGGCGCTGACGCTGCCCATGTGCAGGGCGGGGCTGTTGTTCTCGCGGATGAAGAGGGTGTAGGAGGTTTGGGTGAAGGCGGGGGCGTTGTCGTTGACGTCGGAGACCAGCACGGTTATGTTGTGCTGGGTTTTCAGTCTGGGCGTCCCCATGTCCATAACTGTAATAGTGACATTATACTCTGCTCTGGTCTCTCTGTCCAGAGCACCATTTGTAATTAGGGTGTAGAAATTCTCTTCGGTTGGTTTCAGGAAGAAGGGGAGATCATCTGGGATGGAGCAAGTCATCCTTCCGTTGTTCCCGGAGTCCAGGTCTCCAATATGAAACAGGGCCACTTCTGTCTCTGGGGAATTTTCAGGAATGGGGCTGGTAAGTGATGAAATAGTTAGTTCTGGGTAGTTATCGTTAACATCCACCACCTCAATGGAGACTGAACATTTTCCAGAAAGTCCCCCGCCGTCCGTGGCATCTATATCCAGTTCATATGAGGATATCGTCTCAAAATCTAGTGTTTTGATTAGTCGGACTTCTCCGGAAAGGCTGTTTACTTGAAAAGTTTTGCTTATCTCCTGAGAACTATATGAAAGGGAGTACGATATCTCCCCATTTGTCCCAGTGTCTAAATCTCTAGCAGAAACCTTGACAACTAGGGACCCTACAGGGCTGTTCTCTGGAACTTGCACTTGGTAGTGCATCTGAGCAAACTCGGGGGCATTGTCATTGACGTCCAAGACCAAGATGTGGACCTGGGCGGTGCCAGATCGGGGTGGAGAACCGCCATCCAGTGCTGTGAGGGCTAATCTGAGCTCAGCCTGCTCCTCCCGATCCAGCTCCTTGTCCAGCACCAGCTCTGGGTATTTCCTGCCATCTCCCCGGTTGCGGATGGAAACATGAAAATGAGAGTTGGGGCTGATGCTGTAGTTTTGGATGTTGTTCTTGTCCACGTCCAAGTCCTGGGCTTTTTTCAGAGGAAACACGGTCCCAGGAGGGCTAGCCTCTGGGATTTTCAGCGTCATTTCTCTTTCAGGAAACTCAGGAGAATGATCATTTATGTCCCTCACCAGTAGCTCAGCTCGAAATACTCCCAAAGGTTTTTCCAGTAACACTTGGAAATGCATTACACATGGATCAGTAGGGCCACACATCTCCTCCCGGTCCAGTTTTTCATTTAATATCAAGTCCCCGGTCTGCAGATCAAGCTGCAATCGGGGTTCGTTATCCTTAGTGACCACCCGGGCTCCCCGCGCAGCCAGCTCTCCCGCACCCAGCCCCAGGTCCTCCGCCAGATTGGTCACAAAGGTGCCGCTCTCGGTTTCCTCCAACACTGAATAGCGACGGGATTCCCAGCCGGCCAGAGCCACTTCCACCAAAAGAAAGAGAATCAGGACTTGCCTTTGTTTAGGAAAGCGCTCCCCTCCGGCCTCCATCTTCCTTCCACAAACACCTTTCCAGGAACTGGGCCCAGCTCTACGTTAGGGAGCAATGGCACTGAGACAGTGATGAGTCTCCCAGTTGGTAATCTGTCCAGAAATGTCGGTGAGTAGCATTATCTGGAGACTTCAGGTCCTCAGCTCTGCTTACTCGCTTCTCTCCTCCGCTAGAGATCTGAGATAGTTGAATTTCCTGGGTTTTTTTTTTCTTCTTTTTCTCCCACGCCTTAGCCTGCAGCGCCACCATGCGTTGTTTTCTAAAAGAATCCCTGCAATTGTATTCTCTAGTAATCCCAATAATCTACCTATCCAGTAATACCAATAATATATTGGGAGTTTGGAAATGTCCTGGGGATATAATGTAATCAGAAAACCACGTGACTAAAATTTCTTATTCCTTTATCAAAGATGTATTATTGATATCTATGTACAGATTCTGAAATACGTTAGTAAAAAACCCGACATGGTTTCTATCTTCTAGAACCTGTGGTCTGGGTGGGGTGCTCTGAGTAGAACTGAGGGGTGAAAGAAGACTTAGTAGTGATCATTCCTCTAGTAAAAATAACAGTGTATACCTATGCGATTTCTTAAAGTTCTCTTAGCGAAAAAAGGATGCATTTCTCTAGATTGTCTTTCAAATTTTAGGCATCCTATGTGCCAAAACTGTGGTTCTCATTAATTAAGTTATATCAAGGAAAAAGCTATTAGTTAGTTGCAGTTTACATATTCTTGCTACATAAAGTCAGAGTTATGGTTTTATGAAACTTTCAAGCTACGGGAAAATGCATATGAGGGCACGTCTGTAGCTCTCAGCTGACTCCCTCTGTAGCATCAAGCACCATCAGACATGGCATAACATACATGACTATTTCTTCTCTGTGTCATCCTTGAGTTCCAGTACTTTGTTTTGTTCTCTTTTATGTCCCTAAACAGCTAGTCCCTGGCACGTGGTAGAGGCTCAACAAATATTTGTTGACTAGATTGATGGATGAACCACAATTAATTAAAATTTTTTTGACAGATGAATTCCCCTCCTAACATAAAGGCCTGATTGTTTTGCTAAGACCTTGGTTCATCATATGAGACACCATGTAGCTATTTTCTATGCTATTTTGAATAATAACTTAAAATAATTCAGAATAACCTAAAATGGTTTTCATTGAATGGCAAAATACCCTGGCTCCCCCTAAACAAAAGGATACATTATGAAAAAAAAAAATCACAAGCAGGTTATAATGATTCTACAAATAAGGCATACATTTTTTTAAATGTGTTATTTCACACTAATGCTATTATGACACCAATGATATTAAACACTATTTCTTATATGAAATTTTCTAAGACTTTCTGATAAACATTCCATAAACTGTACAATTTGGAAATATACATTAAGTCTTAAAATTATGTAGCCTGACAAAAGCTTGTGCTTGTTGCTTACAGACTACTACTATTCTATCACCTTTTGTTTTCTAAATATTTTATTTATTTATTTTTAGAGAGAAGGGGGAGGGAGAAAAAGAGAGAGAGAAACAATGTACAAGAAAATGGAATAGCCTCTCACACGTCCCCAGCTGGGGACCAGGCCTGCTAGCCAGGCATGTGCCACGACAGGGAATCAAACCAGCAACCTTTCAGTCCACAAGCCAGTGCTCAATCGCCCGAGCCACATCAGCCAGTGTTCCACCACCTTTTGACCTAAGTATTGTTAAATTTACTGACAACCGCAATTTTTTAAATGTCAAATAGTAAGTTTCATGCCATACAAGAATATCTACACATGATTTTGACAAGTTAAAAAAACACCTAATTATCTTAATTAGAGGAAAATTTATTAAAAGAGAAGTTGCTTCCAAAAACCCAAGGGAGAAAGCACACTTGGGAGAGACCAAAAAATGTATCTCTTTCCTTCTTGTCTCTAAGTGGATTGATTTTCTATACTTCTTTCCATTTAGCCAATATGATGTCATTTTTGTGTTAAGTTCCTAACAAAGAGACCATTCTATATCTGGTTTCTAAAGCCACTTTTTAAACAGAGAGAATCAGACTGGCACGGTGTGGATCAGCAATGTCTACTACCTTCTCTGATTGTCTGAAATCACAAAAAAATAGATGATTCATTAAAATAAACATGGATGTGACAGCAGCGATCAACATCAAGTTGACATCTCTTTCAGCAGACATCAACTGAAGAGAGAAGTTTCCAGAAAGATATGTGGTGGGACCTATTATTTAAACATTTGCAAATATTCTATTACTCTTTTAATATGGTGACTGGAGATTATTTGACTTTGGGTGGTGGGCACACAATGCAATATGCATATATAATGTATCACAGAAATCTACATTTGAAAATTATATGATCTTATTAACCAACGTCAAACCAATAAATTTAATTTAAAATAATGCTCTTAAATATCGTATACTAAAGGTTGACATAAAGAGGTGAAAATATTTCAAGTATGGCAGAATGTAGTTTTTTCTATTTAATATCACTGTGGGGAAAAACATGCAATTTTTGTAGACATTCTCCATTTAAAAATTTAAGACAGGAAGGCATAATATATTAAACTGAAGATACAGTAATACTCACTATATTTGTATCATGCTTGCTCCTAGGAAGCCACAATTAAAATTTAAAAAATGTTTCTAGACAACATTCAAACACAGTGGTGCTAGAGTTATCTTCAAATCAATAGTGGTTGATGATGAAAAGTTGATAAATTGAACAAATATTCACAGCATTTTAGTAATGAAGTTGAAAGTTCTTTGTCCTAATCAAAATAGAAATGGTAGAGAGTAAATATGACTATGTACTTAAAGTTTCTAATCTCTTTAACTATAAAAAATTTAAATAAATTTTACCTGGACCCCCCCCCCAAAAAGTAATGAAGACAGCATATTAGGAAGAACTAACCTTCATCGTGAATGCTCTGAAAAATTAACAAGTCCCTAATTGAATACAAAACCATTTACAAAACTTGAGTTTTCCTCCACACCATTCACAGATGGATGGTTAGTGGCGACAGACTTCAGGAACGTGAACTCGCTGGTGGTCCCTGAGCCTCCCTTCAGACACACCTCATACTGGTAGCTCTGGGACAGGGTCCCTGTGCCGCCGACGTCCACCAGGTGGCCCGGAAAGTGGCCCTCGGGCACCGAGCAGCCGCCCACCAAGCCCGCCCTGCCCCTCCTGCACAGCCGCACCGCGATGAACGCCAGCACCGAGAACAGGAAGAGCGACGACACCGACGCCAGCGCGATGACCAGGTAGACCGTGAGCGGGTCGCTCTGGGCCGCGGCGCCCGCCGCCGCTTCGGGCAGCGGCAGGTAGGCCTGCGAGAAGCCGTCCACCAGCAGCACGTGCAGCGTGACGCTGGCCGACAGCGGCGGCTCGCCGTTGTCCTTCACCAGCAGCAGCAGCCTGTGCTTGGCCGCGTCGCGCTTCGCTCAGCAGCCGCGCCGTGCGCACCTCGCCGTTGTGCGCCCACACGCCGAACAGCCCGGGCTCCGTGGCCTTGAGCAGCTGGTAGGACAGCCAGGCGTTCTGGCCCGAGTCGCCGTCCACCGCCACCACCTTGCTCACCAGGTAGCCGGGCTCGGCCGCCCTGGGCACCAGCTCGGTGCAGGGCGCAGAGCCGTTCTGCAGCGGGTAGAGCACGAAGGGCGCGTTGTCGTTGGCGTCCAGCACCTGCACGCGCACCAGCGCCTGGCTGCTCAGCGCCGGGGCCCCGCGGTCCGTGGCGCCCACCAGGAACTCGAACGCCTGCAGGGCCTCGAAGTCCAGCGCCCTCAGGGCGAACAGGTGCCCGTTGTCGGCGTTGATGGACACCAGCGAGTGGAGGGGCAGGCTGGGGTCCTGGGGCTGCAGCAGCGAGTAGGTGACCTGGGCGTTGGCGCCCGCGTCTGTGTCTGTGGCGCTGACGCTGCCCATGTGCAGGGCGGGGCTGTTGTTCTCGCGGATGAAGAGGGTGTAGGAGGTTTGGGTGAAGGCGGGGGCGTTGTCGTTGACGTCGGAGACCAGCACGGTTATGTTGTGCTGGGTTTTCAGTCTGGGTGTCCCCAGGTCTGTGACGGTGATGGTGATGTTGTACTCCGCTCGGCTCTCTCTGTCCAGAGGTCCCTCTGTTACCAGCTTGTAGAAATTCTCAACGGAAGGTTTCAGCGTGAAAGGAACATCTTCCTGGATGGAACAAACCATCCTTCCATTTTCCCCAGAGTCTGGGTCTCGAACACTGAAAAGGGCTATTGTGGTTTCTGGGGAATTTTCTGGGATGGAGCTTGTAAGTGAAGCCACCGTCAGTTCTGGGGTGTTGTCGTTTATATCCACCACCTGTATTATGACAGTGCATTTTCCAGAAAGACCGGCCCCATCAGACGCCTTAACATCCACCTCGTATGACACAATTTTTTCAAAATCTAGTTTCCTAATTATTTTCATTTCTCCTGTGAGTTCATTAAGTGAAAATGTCCTAGTAATCTCTTCATCACCATAAAAAAATGAGTAGAACACTTCACCATTTATTCCCGTGTCTAAATCTCTAGCAGAAACGGTGACAACAAGGGACCCCAGAGGACTGTTTTCCAGGATCTGCACACGATAGCGTGGCTGCGCAAACTCGGGGGCGTTGTCATTGACATCCAGAACCTGGATGAGAACCCGCGCGGTGCCAGATTTGGGCGGAGCTCCGCCGTCCGCGGCCAGGAGAGTTAACCGCAGCTCGGGCTGCTGCTCTCGATCTAGAGCTTCGTCCAGAACCAGCACCGGGTACTTTCTGCCCTCACTGCCGTTTCTGGTGAGAACGTGGAAGTGGGAGTTGGGGTAGATGGTATAATTTTGAACGTTATTGATGCCTACATCCAAATCTTGTGCGTTTTTCAGGGGAAATACCGCCCCTGGAAGAGTATTTTCCATGATTTTTAAAATCATTTCTGCTTCTGGGAACACAGGTGGATTGTCATTTATGTCACTGACCAAAAGCTTAAACTTATATACTTCCAAAGGTTCTTCCAGTAACACCTGGAATTGCAGCTCACACGGCTCAGTGGGGCCACACAATTCTTCCCGGTCCAGTTTCTCATTCACTAGTAAATCTCCGGTCTGAAGGTTCAGCTGAAAGTGTTTTTTATTGTTGTTAAAAATGACTCGAGCCCTCCTCCGAGACAGCTCTCTTACCTCTAACCCTATGTCCTTCGCTAGATTAGCCACAAAAGAACCTCCCTCTGTTTCTTCTGCGACACTGTAAGCTTCCCGCTCCGCACAAGTCTGAGCCAGCAAAACAAAGAGAAGCAGGACTTGCCTTAGTGTAGGAAGGCGCTCCTCTTCGGCCTCCATCTTTCCAGCGCCAGAACCCTTTAGGACCGGATGCTGTTGGGTCTGTAGGCAGCTGGCCCTGGGGACCGACCCTTACCGCAGGACAATTCCGTGAAGAACCCTCTTCTCTCAAGCTCGGTCTGTGTTCTGACTGCCAGAACACGAGCCCTCCGCGGGTCTGTT